AATACTCTATGTAGACTCATCGAGGTTAGCCGAAATAGCGATAATAATATTTGTATCAGTGGTGACGATGATGCAGACAACGACGATAATGATGATGATGATCATCATCAAGGTGGTGATGATGATGATCATCATCAAGGTGGTGATGATGATGATCATCATCAAGGTGGTGATGATGATGGCATTAATAACAACAACAATAATAATAAAGTAGTAATAGTAATAATAATAATAATACTAAAGTAGTAATAGTAGTAATAATAGTGATAATAATAATAACAATAATGCTACCCGTTAGCAGGGAGAATTATAAATTCAAATGAAAATCAGGTACGACTTCTTCGTGTGTTGCTTGCATATTTTTGTTTTACTGTTTCATTATTATTTTCATTATTGTTTTTGTTGTTATTATTGTTATTATTATTGTTATTATTATTGTTATTTATTATTATTACTTTTCTCATTAAAATTTCATTAAAATTAATATTTTTATTATTATTTCATAATAATATTAATTATTAGTATTATTCATGTTATTACATTAGTCATAGTGCAGCATTTTTATTTTTAAACACACACACACACACACAAACAAACACACACAGCCAGTCACAGACAGGTAGGTAGGCAGCTAGGCAGATAGACTGTGATTTCTCTTCTGTTTAACTTTACGAGGTGACTATAAACGGTTAACCTGAAGTTCGTTAAATTTTTTTGCTTTTTGTTTCAACTTTAAATTCATCACTCAAATCCGTTTGATGTGATAAGGAGTGTATCATCATTAAATAACAATTAATTAATTAATTGATTTATTTAAAAATGGTAGACGTCATTAAAGATTTCATCCTACATTTTTTTGGATATGAAACCTTATTAAACTTGTTTGATGATCTATGTTAATAAGTTCTAAAAAAACGCAGTGATGTGAAATGTGAGTACGTTTTAGGAGTTAGAATTTTTTTTTTTATTTCTCAACTAATTCCGATCATAATCAATCACGTAAGTTGCGTGGAAACTTTATATGCACTTAGTTTTTTTCGTCGTTAGGTTATCATCATCATCGTAATTGTAATCACCATCACCATCATCATCAACATTGTCATCATCAGCATCAACATCATCATCATCATCATCATTCTCACCATCATCATCAACAACAACAACATCGTCATCATCCTATGATCGTCCTAAGCGTCACCATTATCATCATTCAAGTTCTCATCTTCACAGTCATCATCATCGTCGTCGTCGTCTTCGTCATCATCGTCATCGTCTTCCACATCATCGTCATTGTCGTCTACATCATCATAGAAAGTTCCGGAAGTCTCGATTTGGAAAACCTTGTCAATTAAGGGAGCATTCTAGAACAGTGGTTTGTTAATTTTGATATGAACTGTCATGGATATGCTCTCTTCACTGACACGAGAGTTTATACAAGCAGTCCAGAATCATCACCATCACCTATCATCATCTTCACCATCATCTTCACCATCATCTTCACCATCACCTATCATTATCTTCACCATCATCATCACCATCATTAACGTCGTCGTCATCGTTGTTATCGTCATCGTCGTCATCGTCGTGCTATCGTTGTTGTTATGTCATTCCCACCATAATCAATATGTTACGTCATAAACATCACCATGTTACATCATTTTCATCATCATGTTCCCTATTTATTCACCATCATTAACTTCACCGACTTTTTCACCATTTAACTAAATCTGAACATATCGCAAAAAAGTAAATTTTCATCATCGCAGTATGATCTACTTAAAATTCAAATAACAATCCCATTCAATTAATATTCTACATTTTATCTGCCCTTCTTTATCTCACTCACTCATTCACTCACTCACTCATTCACTCACTCACTCATTCACTCACTCACTCACCTACCATAAATCAAACCGCAAACTCATATTCACCAAATAAATAGTCTCAATAAAGATAATTTTTGTAGAACTTACATTAAAATATACCGGATCTAATGGGCATCAACATTAGGTTAAAAGAGTTGCATCATAGAAATATTTCTCCAATTTAGCACGTTTGATACTTCTTAAAATTGCAAACATTCCGAACAAATATTATTTACCAATCAGTCTTTAATAGAATTATTTTCAGATGACGAGAGGCAGACAGTAATAAATAATGATGATGAGGCTGACGATAAAGAAAGCGATGATGGTGAAGATGATAACAATGGCGATGATGAGGATGAAGAAGATGATAACAATGGCGATGATGAGGATGAAGAAGATGATAACAATGGCGATGATGAGGATGAAGAAGATGATGACGACGACGATGAGGAGGATGACGAAGATGATGACGACGACGATGTGGACGACGAGCTCATCTACGCGGTCATCAATTCACTCTATTGCAATGGTGAAATCAATATTTCAACATGAATTTTTCTTTTTGGTTTTTGGGATCGGCAGATCAGGAAGCGATTACGTATTTCAATGAAACCACAAAATTACTTTTTCACTTTAGTCTTTTATGATCTAATTTTTACCTTTTATGATTTAATCCAACTAATTTTTATCGATTTTAATGACATTTTCATGTTTTAACAAAACCAAACCAAACCAAATTGCTTGATTTGTGTCTAAAAATGCAGTGAAACTAAATTCATGGCGAGAATTTTGAGGAGATAGATATATGTAACTAAGAATTAACACTACAAGTTGAAAAACGAGTGTGATTGATAATTTGACTATATCTTATACAATACATAATACAAGACACCTAATATAACATTCAAGATGCAACACACACGACATAACATACATGAGATGACATACATGACATGGTAAATTAATAACATACAATATACATACATAAAGGATGAGCCGAAACAAACTTGTTACATGATTTAACAATTAACATACAAAATTATGGCATACACGCAGCAACACACATGAAGAAACACTGTTTTTGTAACATGGCAAACATTTATATTAGTAACATAGCAAACATTGTATTAGTAACATAGCAAACATTGTATTAGTAACATAGCAAACATTGTATTAGTAACACAGCAAACATTTGTATTAGTAACACAACAGACATTTGTATTAGTAACATAACAAACATTTGTATTAGTAACATAACAATCATTTGTATTAGTAACATAACAATCATTTGTATTAGTAACATAGCAAACATTTGTATTAGTAACATAGCAAACATTTGTATTAGTAACATAGCAAACATTTGTATTAGTAACATAGCAAACATTTGTATTAGTAACATAGCAAACATTTGTATTAGTAACATAGCAAACATTTGTATTAGTAACATAGCAAACACTTGTATTAGTAACATAGCAAACGTTCACAAAAAAAAACACACACAGTACAACTCGCGTGACACAACACTTTAATGTTCTATTTCAAAATGGCCAACAACGACCAACGAAAGTGATAATTACAGAATCGTCAACCTAAAACCTCCAGGGCGTGACTCACAACGCCGCAATTAAGATATCTTCTTAACACCAAATTATCTTTTCTACGTGTCATTTCCATTCTTCCTTCACGCTCGTTTCGACAATGTGCTCCATAAACCTAGTTTTAAAAATTAATCCGTGAATTAGAAAAGTATCTATAATCAAATAACGAAAATTTTCAACTTTTTTTACGATTTTAAACGGGATCAAATAAAAAATATCGATATAGTTTTTACTGAATTGGTTATTACTATTTATACAATCGATAGATGGATAGATGGATGTATATTACTACTGTATGTGACGTGATAAACTTGTAACGAAAACACCTAAAACTTTTATATTTTTACGATTTCGTGGCATCTTTTTAATTCCGTGTAACGCTTCGATTTGATTTTAACATTTCGTCGACAACAACAAAAAACGCAAACAGCTTCTAGGGACTAAATTTATTAACGTCATGTCAAATAAACTTTATAAATTTTCACCCACAATACACATGCACAATAATATTTATTTATATAACAAAATAAAATAACATATAACATTGTTCCAGTGCAAACAAACCACAGGAAGACAAGATGAAATTAACGACTAGCGAACCAAAGACGTTATACAGTAACACCTCAACATAATAACATCATTAACACACACACACACACACACAAACACACACACACACACACACACACACACACACATACACACACACATATATATATATATATATATATATATATATATATATATATATAATAGAACACGAGTTCATGGATATAGATCAATGCTTTAGGACATTAACTCAATATATATATATATATATATATATATATCTATATATATATATATATATATATATAACATATATAACTCTACAATATGTATATATATAATTTATAAATATATATATGTATATACATGTATGTGTGTATGAGTTTTTGTGTGTTAAAAATATTAGTAAATGTGATGAATTGTTATACATTTGTGGAGAGTAGAAAGAAATCATTGTATGTATATGTTGCTGTTGATGATAATGATGATTATAATAATACATAATAATGTCGGAATAAAAAAATTGACTCATTTAGTGAGTAGTTGAGAATAAAACCAGCAGGCAAACAGACGCATTTCATCAAGGGCTGAAGCAGTAAGATATGATTGAAAGTGAAATTGAATTGAAATTGTTAATAAATACTTTGTGGATAAAATTTTTTTTCGTCCTTCATAAAATCAATTTGAAATATTGAAATTTTAAAGGAGGATATAGAAATAATATTTAAAATTGTAAAATAAATTACTCGCCATAACATAAAGGAATGTGTGGACATTATTATAGATAGAACGAAATGGGAGAAAAAAAAGATTTAAATTAAACATTAATTTAAATTAAATTAATAGGATGAAATTGAAGGTTAACTATAAGTTAAATTGAACTATTTCTGAACTTGAGTTCAAAGTTGAAGGTTTAGAATTAATAAATTTTTATTTTACTAATAAAATTAATTTAAATTTATTTGAAAATAAATTCGGAGATTTGTTAACAAGTAGCAGTTTCGTTTCTGGCGCGAGGCACGTTATTGTTACTATTGTTGTTAGCATTGTTATTATTAATGTTATTGTTGTTGTTATTAATATTATTATTATTATTAGCAGAAACACCTTTATTACTACCATTATTATTATTATTATTATTATTATTATTGTTGTTGTTGTTGTTATTGTTGATGATAGGATTGATGTTATTGTTGTTACTGTTACCCCCGTTGATGTTATTCGTCAGAATGCTAGCAGGCTGCTGTTGAATTTTATGCTTAGATTTGGAGCTAGATGAAGACGTGGCTATGGCAAATTTGTTGCTGGTGTTGAAATTGTTGTTAATGATGTTGTTACTACTGTTGTTGTTGTTGATGTTGTTGTTATTGTGGTTGATTCGCGATAGCATGATCTTGTCTTCGTAGTCAATCTCACACAAGATTTGACTGTCCCACAGATAGTACCTGTCTCCAATACAGAACCTGGTTTTACATAATTAATTAATTAATTAATCAATTAATAGAGTAATTAATTAATTAACTAATAAATTAAATGACTGATTGAATGATATGTGCTAACTACGGGATAGATGTATTGTATAGTGACTAAATATAATTCAACGATAATAATTAATTGATCACAATTTACGTAAAATAATACTATATATATAATTTGTAAATAAATGTTTAAAATTTTATAGAATTTTTTTTCATTTTCGTGCAGCAAATGAACGTTAATTGACTATAAACATGATGAAATAAAAAATGTCAACACACACACATACAGGTACATACAGTTACACAAACCCACACGGAGAGAGAGAGAGAGGAAGGGAGAGAGAGAGAGAGGAAGGGAGAGAGAGAATGAGAAAGAGAGAGAGACAGGCAAACAAACACACACATTGAAACAGGCAGACAAATGCATACATACCTATGGTTACATTGTTGACAGGCAAAGCATTCGAGATGGTATACATGATCGCGAGCCTTCATAACCATTTCAAAGGCTGGAATGACTTTCATGCAGACGCTGCAGTTCCCTGTGGCCCCAAACAACCTGCGATCAAGAAACATTTTTCAATATTAATTATGCTAATTACTGCAATGAATATTAATTATAAAAATGTTAGTAATGAATATTAATTACGTCAATTATTATAATGTTATGTTACGAATAAATAGGGATCAGCCATCAATAATGTAATGTTACATTTGTAAGCGGCGCTAATGAAATATGGTGTACTGAACCAACAATTTGAAGAAGTTAAATATGAAATGTGCTTTCAAAAAGTGACTAACCGCTTAGGCAAAAAAAACATGACATTACATTAATTACACACAATTTTTATTTTCAAATGAATGCCATTATATCAACTACGTACAATTACTATTGCAAATGGATGGGCAAACATTGGCGTCATTAAACGAGCTAAAAAGTATTCCACTCCTACAAAAAAAAACGAAACGAAACGAAACAGGACAAAAACGAAATTGCCATTTAAATTCTTTTTTTCTTACCCTGATTGTTTTTTTCCATTAAGACATTTCTTTTCATCTCAGTGAAGAAGGAATGAAATTAAAAATGACCAATAAAACGTTGTCATCAGTCCTTTCATCATCATCAACATCATCATCATCATTATCATCATACACCATCTACGTCATTATCATCATCATAACTCCAATCATGATCATCATCGTCATCATCTTCTTCTTCATTATCACCATCACCCCAATCATCACCACCATCTACGTCATCATCTTCATAACCCCAATCATCACCATCATCATCATCTTCTTCATCATCATCCTCACTATACATGGCACCTGCACACATCATCAACTCCATTTTAATTAATTCAAATAACCAATTTTAAAATTACTTAATCTCTCAGTCAGACCAGAGAAAGAAAGAGAAAGAGAGAGAGAGAGAGAGAGAGAGAGAGAGAGAGAGAGAGAGAAGTAATTTAATTAAAAAATTAAAAAAAGAGGAAAGAAAAAAGAATAAAAAAAATTAATTAAGAGACAAGGAGGTTACATAGCATGTGAATTACCTGATGCATGCACTCTTACATGCATGTACATGTACAAATACACGCACACAAACATGCACGCACACATACTAACCTCTAAACATACATATACACGCAAACAAATTAAAACACACAAACTAAAACGTACACAAACTTACACACACACATACATACGCGCGCACTTACACATCTGTGTGGGCACTACCAGATGATGAGTGCTAGAAGGAAAAGGTTTTAGCAGAGCATATGAATGAGATGATGATCATGAGAGAATCAATAAAAAAATTTTTCGTGATAAAATGAAAATGAATAAAAGAAAACGAAAGAGGAAAATGAAGTGAGCAGAGATGCCTGATGGGAAAAAGTTACTTACTAGTATTGATCGGGCAACTAAAACTCCAATCAAAGAGAAAAAATAACTGATGCATGGTGCCTATCAAATTTACACATCAATCAAACCGTTGTTGATATTATTCTTTTATTATTATTACTATTATTAAAATCATCATTAAATTAACAGCAATTATTATTATTATTATTGCTATTATTATTATCTACACCGGAGTGTCAAAGTCAGTAAGAGTCGGAGACTTTAGCCAGAGTCCCAAAATTTTTGAGATGCCAGAGTGGAATATTTTTTTATTTAGACACCACCCATAATTTCGAGATAAATTATCACCTACATTAACTTTACGAGTTTTTCATATTACATCACTTAACTAGGGCAGATGATTATACTACATCACATAACCACATGATGACATCGCATCACATCACCGCCGAAATATGCATGACAAAACATTGTATCAACACAAATACCAACCGTAGAACCACATACCATCATCTACAGAAAATGTTCATTTCATTCAAATGGGACAATATTTTAATCCACCAATGCAAATATAATCAAATGCATTTTTCCATCTGAAAAATTTATCCAAACGGAATTAATTACTTATGCCTGCATTCAAAATATGTACATCTGAACAAAAATCTATATATTTCACACATTCATACACATACTTTCTCACACACTCTCCCACACAAATTCTCACACAGGCACCCACACACAAACAAATTCCCAAACACACGCACACATACACACACACACCACACACACACGAATATAAACGCAAGCCTGATAACATTTCACACATTAACACATACAACGTAAACAAAGCAGAAAATAAAATCCAATCAGACAGACAGACAGACAGATCGTAAATATATTCACACACACACACTCACAAACACACAGCACAGCACACACACACCACACAAACACACGTATAATGCATGTATACAAAATGCAATTCCATTTAGAGATGAAGGAAATAGAATCAATAGAGACTACAACATTTGTCCATGTTTGATGGGGTTATTACAAAAAATTCTTCCATTTCATCTTGCGAGAAGAAATGATGATGCAATCATGAAATTGCACACACACACACACACAACACACACACGCACTCACAAGTATATGTATACATATATAAAAATAATATACGTATTAATAAATGCACATACAAAAATTAATATCTTAATAAGGTATTGATGACCATTTTGGTGGTAAGAAAGGATAATAATAATAATAATAATAATATAATAATAATTATAAATAATAATTAAGATTGACAACTAAATGATATAATGATTAAAAATAATAATCACACTGAATAAATAAAATGAATAATGCAACAAGAAAATATCAGCCCTCTCTTTTCTCTCTCTCTCTCGATAAATAGAGGATGAAGTAAAAAATGTTCCAATCAATATAATCATTTTCCATATTCCTCCATCAAACTTTCCCAGAAAATGCCATGATCGAAACCTACTTACATCAAAAGAGAAAAAAAGTTTCTTTTCTATTAAATAAAAAAAGCTTTCCTCTAAAAACAGCATCTTAAAATTTATTATCAAAGGCAAATTATTTCCCTAAAATAATTGCAGAGGAACATATAAGAGGGGAAGTAAGAAAGAGAGAACATTGGGAAGTGAGCGGATATAGTGAAAGAGAGAGAGAGAGGGAGACAATCAAACTGTTGATTACAACTGTCATACTTTTGTAAGAATAATGCTTTGCCTTTCAAAATAGGCAATATCTGTATTCATACATAATACACAAACATACACTCATACAGGCATATACAAACGCATACACTCCCAGATACACATAAAATCACATACACATGCAAGCATACGCATACATACAAACAAACATCTTAAGTGTATCCATACATATATACACATGAGATTAGTGTGAACAACAATGGTTTAAGAAACTTTTTTTCAAAGATTTTTATTTACCTGAAAGTTGTTGTAAAATGGTTAAACTGTGAAAATTGTGAAGAAACTTATGAATGATCTTTTCTTCCTTGAAACCCATAGCACCAGAAAATTTTATTGATATGATGAATATTTTTTTTTTTACAAAATTCCTAACTAAAAATATAAAAACTACTGATTCTCTTCCGCTTGTGTGAATGAACATGGTGATCAAAGAAAAATAAATCAGTCGCACAGCGTAAAACTGATGGCATTTGATATGAAAAACCAATCAATAAGTGTTTGAGATCACTTGATGTCATGATAATCAATTCATATAACCAACCTTGCTGACGTTAACAACATCATCCATGACAGGCTAGTAACAGTCACATCAGTTTTAAATATCAATAAAACGTTAATAAACATAATTTCCATAATGTACCAGAAACTCAACAACAGCAAAAGAAATAAAAACAAAAACAAAACGGCCATAGCAACTACATCAACATAAACGATAACATTAATAGTAGCAGTTACAACAATGGCAACAACAGCAGCAGCAACAACAGCAGCCGCAACAACGACAGCGAAATGGAACAGAAGGATGAAAAATTGCTCTTAATTGTTCAACTCATTTTCTCAAAGCAGTCATATATCACAATTTGAGATAGCCAGGAAATGCAAATGCCAACTTGGAAAAGTCCTGGAATAAAAGTAAAGAATTAATTGCGTTTACAAGTGACAAATGGATTTTAAATTTATAGCAAACCTTTTTTTGTTTTTTGTTCCTGTTCTCTACTATTGAAAAAAAAAAACCTCAATCTAAAATTTTATTAAAAGCAATTAATCATGTATTTTTTTTTGTAATTTCACCACCCAAAAAAGCAGGAACAAAAATGAAAGACAAATATTATTATGGAAAAAAGTTTCATCTCAACTCAATAACCATCCACACTACAAGTATAATAAGCTTGTAAAGATTCATTACAATTCTTTATGAAGTCGTAACATTAATTGAAAGATCAAAAAGGAAGGGAGGAAGGAATAAAAGAGTTGAAGAATGAAGCAAAAAAAGCTGAAGAACGAAAGAAATATAATCAATCAGAGTGCTGACAACTTGTACATGTGGATGAACAAAGCACACACACCCTAATATTAGAGATGGGATGAAAATAATTAAAATTATGAAAATTATCTATATATAATAATATAAATAATTAAGACTTTAATGGAGCAATATGAAAAAACTTAGTTTTTAAGTGCTTAAAAGTTAATTTAAGAACAAATTTTGGTGACTTTTGCCATTCACATGATTAAATCTGAAAGATGGACACTGAAGTGTTTTTAGTGTGTGTGTGTGCGCGCGTGTGAGTGAGTGACTGTGGGTGTGTGTTGTAATGTCTGGAGATGATGCCAAAGATAAAAAAATGTTGTAATTGCATTAAATGGCTTAAGTATTTTTTCATGTCCTATCCATTATACACAATCACACAGGCACACACACACCACAAACACAATTCACAAGCGTGCAGACATTTTCTCTGAAGGACACTAAAAAAGGGAGAAATACAAAAAAATGAAAAAGAAATAGGAGAGATGAAACAGAATGAGGGAGAGAGAGAAAGAGAGAAAGAGAGAGAAGAATGTGAAAGAAATAGAGAGGGGAATATAATTTTCATAGACAAAAAAAATCTAATTTTTTAAAAATAAAAATAAACCCACGTGTTGTCCTCAAATAAAATAGAACAAAAATAATACTAAAACAATGAAAACCCACACAATGATAAACAAAGCAGAAAATTGTTACCAAAAATGAAACAGATTGAACAAATTCACCAAAGAAAAAAATTTATCAAAATATGTATGCTTCATCTATTTTAAATGCAAATGCAATCATCCCAAGACAGCTGAATAAACCTAGAACAAATTGGAACTATGGAAAATGGATGCAAAACAACAACAACAATAACAACTAAATAGAAAACCAGAACAAAAAAAAACAAACTGCAGAAAAACAAAAACCGAAATGAAATGCAAAAATTAATTGGTCTGTCAATGTAAAAGGAATAAATGCCTATAAAAATGGCATAGTAACAAAGCATTCATCAAATCAAAATAATTCCCAAAAGCAATTAAGTCCTCTATTTTTTTCGTAGCTAGAGACATCACCAAATAATTCCATTACACACGACTGCAGAAGTGATGGCATATTGCGCATATAATACTTTCCTTTATATACCCTCAACTTTCAAATCATCCTGAAATTATCACCTAACTATCTATCTCGCCATTAATTATAAATTGTTTCACAAATAATAATTTATCCAAACAATATTTTTTAAAATTAATAAAACCCAGATAGTCACCTCAAATAATCCCTCCTACAAAGCAAGAGATTGGCTTTTGTGTAGAGTGTGGATCCGACTTCGCCGAGCCGGCACTCACAGCAGGAACATTTGAGGCAGTCCTCGTGCCAAAACTGTTCCATCGTCTGCAGCATGTACCGGTCCGTTATCGGCTTCTGGCACCCGGCACATTCCTGGGGTGCTACAGAAGCACTCGATGTATATTCTGACTCAATGTTGCTGCTGCTGTTGTTGTTGTTGACGATGTTAGGAGAATTGTTGTAGTTGTTGTTGTTGTGAGACGTTGGATTGATGACTCTGTTAGGAGATGATAGGTTGTTGTTGCTGTTGTTTGCAATCAGACGAGTGGATCCACACTGGTTCAGTAGTGATATGTTGCTGTTGCAGTTGCTGAAGATGTTGCTGGATGAAAATGTGTTGCTAGTCAAACTGTTGCTGATGAATTGCATGAAACCTGTGCTGACGTGTAAAAAGAAAAATCATCATGAAAAATATATAAAAATCAAGTTTTTATAAATATAACAGCATTTCATAAGAACAAACATTTGCGCAAATATTTTAAAGGAGCTCTCTAAATGTATGATGCGTTTACATCAAATAATACACACATAAGCACACACACACAGATATATATATATATATATATATATATATATATATATATATATAACATAGGAAAGAACATGCGACAGAGAGAATGTATATATCTTAATGCAAACATGCAATCTACTCAATCAGATTAATTTAGATATAGGCAAATTTCGATGTTTGATCATGTAACAATTTTTTTTTAAATGAAAAAGAAATTATGATGGAGAGTATTTACGATGAAAAAATTAGTCTGAGCACATGAGGAAGTAGGACGGAAATGTCAAAACCATTGCTTCAAAACTAGGTCCAAATCTATTTATCTTTATTTAAAGGCAGTCTTACAATTTTTAACAGTTCATGCTGAAAATTGAAATTTTTTGTTTACAATATAAAAAAATGTTATAAAATCTTGTTTGAAATGAGTTATGTTAAATATATGGAATAGAGCAAATAAAATTAAAGAAATTGGAACTATGACAAATGAATAACATGTTCATTGTTGCATTTTACGTGTATTAAAGTAAAGTTACTGGAAAAAAAGGCACATACGAACAAGATAAATAACTGTACATTTCAAAATGAAATCAGCTGGAAAAAATTATTGCTGAAATAAAACAAACATAAAATAACTGCAACAAAAAAATTAAACGACATTGACATACTCGACACAATTTGAATGATAAATGCAGCAGTCTGCATAAATAACATCAGTCAGATATTTTGGTCACAAAACAACAATCAGCAGAAAACAGAAAAAAAGAACACAAAGTATTAAATGGAAAAACAAAAAATAGAAAAAAGTCAGAAAAAACGAAACAAAATGATAAGAAAACGGAATAATGCAGGCCAAAAACAACCTGATTGATTCTCTGAAAAGGGAAACCACAAAAGAATAATTTCAATTTCCTTCATTCAACACAATTCTCCATAACATATACGTATGTATGTATGTACGTACGCATGTATGTATGCATGTTTGTTTGTTTGTATGTATGTATGTATGTTTGAATGTATGTATGTTTGTTTGTATGTATGGGTGTGTATGCTTGCATGTTCACGTACATATACTCATACTTACGTATGAATATGTGTACTGTACAAGCGTGTATGCACTTACCGTACACATGTGTGTATGTCTGCCTGCCTGCCTGAAATGAGTTTTGTTTGCATATTGTATGCATCGGAGGAGGGAGCGAGGAGAGATGCATGAAGATATATGCTAGATTGAAGTATGTGTTTAATGGGAAGGCGACAGAATGAGTAGAAAGAGAGAATATGCACACAAGCCTGCTTCGTTAAATTTATATACATTTCCTTCGCCATTATTTTAATTGCTTTTCTCTCCTCTGCTGTGCCCAGCGCCTTCTTATTTCTACATTATTCATGCAACTTACATTAATTTGTCAACTTTCTAAATGAAGAAGAAGAAATGAATGTACGTATAGTATAATAGATACGTACGTTTTAGATTTGTTACCGTCACCAGTGGGCATCACCGCATATTTAAATCTTTAATTTACTTTTAAATTGAGATGACTTCAGTGTTTACGAGAGAAATCTTTCAAAGTGTGAACACAATTCAGAGAATGTGATAGATAGGGCAGATGAAAACACAATTGCCTAAAAATATACATTACCGACATGAAGTGTGATGCATACACCCTTATTCATTGTATATAAATATATAAATATATAAATATATATATATATATATATATATATATATATATATATATATGTAAAACTATGCTTGTAAATTGAAATAAGTAATGCAAATCAGTCAATGACTGGCTTGAATTTCCAATGTTGCAAAAGTCATGGAACGAGTGAGCTCAAGTGGGAGAAGAAGATGAACAAGAAAGTGAAAAGATTGAATTGAGAAATTAATCAATTAATCAGACAACGCAAAATGTAAAAAAAAAGAAATTTGGATATGTGCAAAGGAAGTTTTTTTGGTGTGATGTAGTTGACCATATGAATTGTTTTGTTTTAACAAACATAAAGACATCACACTCATCAACCTGTTAAGATAATTAAGATCTGGAAGCAGTGATTGGTGGTGGTGATTCAGGTGAAAAATTACGAATTAAATTACGAAATGAGTTAGTCTGAGAATAGTAGCCATGTAAATATGTAAACAACCACGTCACCTGGGAGAGATATTGATGAAATAAGAGTGTGTGCCGACAGACATGTACACAATTTTTTTTGTCATTATGTAAAAGTCTAACATGCCAATCAATAGAACAAATAAATTTCAATTTTAAACACAAAATAAAAAAAAGTCTAATGCAAGTAAATATAACCAGATGAATGAAAACATGAAAATGTATGCGCAAACAAATGCACGTGTATGCATGAACACACAGAGTCACATTTAGTAGCAGACTCACAAACACACGTGCACACACACACACACGCACATAGCACCACAAATTAATTAACTAATCTTAAATAGGCTACTGACGAGTCTCGTGAGAGACGAAACGTACGTCTGGCCTATGGCGGGTAATGGTTTACCAATAATACCTCTTGCGACTGAATGGGTTCTTAAACCTTGTAACAACGAGATGTTGTTCTTACCTATTGGTCGCGACACTTCAATTTGAGTTTCTTGGTTACAATAATTGAGTTGTGTTATCTTAAGCCTTATTCGACAGGCTACTGACGAGTCTCGTGAGAGACGAAACGTACGTCTGGCCAATGGCGGGTAATGGTTTACCAATAATATATATATATATATATATATATATATATATATATATATATATATATATATACATATAGAGAGAGAGAGAGAGAAAAGAGAACAAATGTCAGATTTACTTATTAAGACGTTCTAATTATAAACCTATATTTTTTTGGATAAGAGTGAAATAAACAAAAAATGCACACACGTTAACTTTATAAACACACCCACATCACTCACACACACACTGACACACACATAGAGAGAGAAAGAGAGAGAGAGAGAGAGAGAGAGAGAGAGAGAGAGAGAGAAAGAGAGAAAGAAAGAAATATGCACACTTTAATGCTAGATATATATTTAGACATCTTAGTTGGCTGGCACAAACACTTTTATGATATCAATGCACCAGTAGACTAAATGGCACAAGTAACAACATTCTATGGAATTAATTCTACAAGAATACAATTGTTGGATGACAAGAAGATACATGGATATCACGGATTATATCTAATCTCGCCACCCACAAAGATACACAGATGCGCGTGAAAACGAATGAAATGTGAAAAAAAAAAACAAAATGGACAATCATTAATGATAGGGAATGTTATAAATCTGGCTGAAGAAATGTGCAATTACGCCAGCAAACCCCATGGGTATGCATTGAATGTAAACTTCAATATTATCCGCATACACGTATATTAGCCTAGCCACTGCAGATATATATATATATATATATATATATATATATATATATATAGAGAGAGAGAGAGAGAGAGAGAGAGAGAGAGAGAGAGAAAGAGAGAGAGAGAGATAACTTTATACAGTAAAGCGTATTGTAAAACTATGCTTGTAAATTGAAATAAGTAATGCAAATCAGTCAATGACTGGCTTGAATTTCCAATGTTGCAAAAGTCATGGAACGAGTGAGCTCAAGTGGGAGAAGAAGATGAACAAGAAAGTGAAAAGATTGAATTGAGAAATTAATCAATTAATCAGACAACGCAAAATGTAAAAAAAAAGAAATTTGGATATGTGCAATGGAAGTTTTTTTGGTGTGATGTAGTTGACCATATGAATTGTTTTGTTTTAACAAACATAAAGACATCACACTCATCAACCTGTTAAGATAATTAAGATCTGGAAGCAGTGATTGGTGGTGGTGATTCAGGTGAAAAATTACGAATTAAATTACGAAATGAGTTAGTCTGAGAATAGTAGCCATGTAAATATGTAAACAACCACGTCACCTGGGAGAGATATTGATGAAATAAGAGTGTGTGCCGACAGACATGTACACAATTTTTTTTGTCATTATGTAAAAGTCTAACATGCCAATCAATAGAACAAATAAATTTCAAATTTAAACACAAAATAAAAAAAAGTCTAATGCAAGTAAATATAACCAGATGAATGAAAACATGAAAATGTGTGCACAAACAAATGCACGTGTATGCATGAACACACAGAGTCACATTTAGTAGCAGACTCACAAACACACGTGCACACACACACACACGCACATAGCACCACAAATTAATTAACTAATCTTAAACAAAACCCTTACTCATTGTGCATTTTCTTTTTGGCAAATTGAATTCACGGGAAATGAAAGTTTTTAATTTGAAAAAGCAATTTCATTTGTATGTATTAGACGCTGCCTTTGCAACCAGCCAGCCAACGAACGAACAAACGAACGAATGGATGGATAAATGAATGAATGAATGAATGAATGAATGAATGGGATGAATGGAGCAAGCGAAGGAACGAGGAAGAAGGCTCCTTTCAACAATAAAGAATGATTAAATGGCCAGGCAAATAAAAATCACTTTCATTCAAACGTTTATTTGCGCGTTTATGTAATGCTGCCATTGGATAGAAATAAGAAAAATTATGCTCAATAAAATATAATAAAATCTGATAAGGTAAGAAAAACAAATTAAAATGGAAAACATTTATGAGGCAATCTTTGAAAAACAATATAGAAAAAAGATGCAATAGAAAGGGAAATAACGACAACAGCGTTATCGCAACAACAAAAAATCAGCGACAACATCAACAACAACAAAGCTAGTTGAAGAAATAAATGGAAAATGGCAAAATACGAAAGGAAAAAAATTATTGTAATTAAAAATTATAAACGAATAATAAATAAATAAACGACATTCTCAG